ATATTAATTGCAATTGTGTTTCATGTTGAGATAACAAACTTTGTATATCTTCTATATCTGAAATGGTAACATTACAAGAGAGAATAAAAGTGTTCTTGAACTTGAATGTGCTTTAATGTAGCCAACAAGATGGCAAGATTACAAAAAAAGATTTGATTACCATGTATATTAGTTAATTCATCAAGGGGATGTAAACAGAAAGAGTGCGTGCTGTTTTCAAATGATATAAAAAAATCTTAAATAAGGTTTTGATATGACACTGATCAAAGGACAACTCTATTTGATTGAATGGAAAGATATGGCATCATTATGCTGTTTTGTGGATGTGAGAGTTATAGAAGAATTTGAAGAGAAACTCTACAATGTTCCTTCATTAGGACTCATTGAGATGCATCACTAACGATGTGAAATGAAGTTGCCATAGGCCTGTTTCCTCTGCTTCCTGGCCTTATGTGTTTACTCAGCATGAGTAAGATATTTATTGAATTAGTTATTTATATGTAGATTGGTGTTGCATCCTCTGTACACAAATTAATGTTCAAAGCCTGTCAACCAACTGTACAGTTTACGTTTCTTAAATTATTACGAAATGCTTTCATATTCACTACCATAATTTAAGTTTTCTTTTAATAGTTATTAAGTAGTAGTTAACAGTTTGGAAATATGTCATTGTAAATCTACCTTATGGTTATATAAACACTGTAAACAAGTCAAAAATAGTAGATTAGGAGTAATTGACTGTAGATTTACATAGTTTGCATGTGGGTTTATTAATCAATTTTGCACTGCTGTTGTTTTGTGTATATTTACAGAAAAAATAAAAAAACAAAGAAAGCTACTGCACATTATTCTGCCAGTACTTTTTCGTTTTTCACACACACACACATATATATATATATATATATATATATATATATACACACACACACACATACACCGATCAGGCATAACGTTATGACCACCTCCTTCTTTCTGCGCTCATTGTCCATTTTATTAGCTCCACTTACTATTTAGGTGCACTTTGTAGTTCTACAATTACAGACTGTCCATCTGTTTCCCTGCATACTCTGCTAGCCCCCTTTTACCCTGTTCTTCAGTGGTCAGGACCCCCATGGACCCTCACAGAGCAGGTACTACTTGGGTGGTGGATCATTCTCAGCACTGCAGTAACACTGACGTGGTGGTGGTATGTTAGTGTGTGTTGCGCTGGTCTGAGTGGATCAGACACAGCAGTGCTGCTGGAGTTTTTAAACACCTCAGTGTCACTGCTAGACTGAGAATAGTCCACCAACCAAAAATATCCAGCCAACAGCGTCCTGTGGGCAGCGCCCTATGACCACTTATGAAGGGCTAGAGGATGACCAACACAAACTGTGCAGCAGCAGACGAGCTATCGTCCCTGACTTTACATCTACAATGTGGACTAACAAGGTAGGAGTGTCTAACAGAGTGGACAGTGAGTGGACACAGTGTTTAAAAACTCCAGCAGCATGGCTGTGTCTGATCCACTCAGACCAGCACAACACACATGAACACACCACCACCATGTCATTCATGTACCTGCTCTGTGAGGGTCCATGGGGGTCCTGACCACTTTTGTTCACATAAAGTGGTAAAGTTGATGAAGGCTAGCATTCTGCTAATTACTGCAGCTTCATTATTATCTCTTTTCTCTAAGGGCCCATATCATTAAGGATGAATTTTCCAAAATGAGAGTTTGATGTAGTATGTACACACTGTTAAAGTTCTGAAATGTACTATTCTGTCGATGTGGTCCATATGTAGAAACTTAAAAAAAAACTAAAAAAATAGCCCTTTTTAGTTCATTGTTTTTGTCATGTCACAAAAAGCAATACGTTTACATACATTGGCCAGATTTAGCCTGCAGCAGTTTATCTTTGTCCTTTCTCCTGTAATAGTCTTAAAGGCACAGTACCAAAACAATAAATAAATGATAATTCTAAAAGAAGCCAGAAAATGTATATGTAAAAATTAGTTATGATTGCTTTGGTACATAAAACTACACAAGCGCTACAAGTTTACCTCAGCAGGAAAAAAAACATACAAGAAAAATGTAGGATATGGACCCTTTAATATAGCACATTTCTATGCCACTTGTAGCCTACTAGCCTATTTCCAGTGAACTGTACACTGTCAAAATAAAGGGTACTGTATGGGTTCATTTTGTCCCCCAAGGTACAAATAATGTAAATGTATCCTCAAAAGTATATCACGATCCTTAAAGTCTCTTGACCATTTGCTAAATTCTGGGAAAGTCCTGCCTAGTTTGCTTGCCTACTGTTGCTCCATCTGTCAAATATTCAGTTGAGGCCAGGAAGAACCTGTAAAATTTCTGCTAACAAACTAAAAACCTCAGCAGCACAAAGGAACATTTAAAGCACCCAGAGCAGTACATTCATCATTATTTAAAATATGAACTGGCTTTACCAGAGGTTGAGTGCAGCTACTGGTTGTTAAAGCAACAGGTTTTCATGTCTAATAGGGAGGAGGTTTGAATGATGACATCTACCCCTTCAGACTAGCTAATGCTAAGCTAATCCTGGAGCTAGTCAGTACAGCATTATATGCTGAGGAGAACTCCTTGTCTTGTACACAAAGTCTTTTGGCAAACTTTAATGAAACAACACAACGGTAAACAGGTGAGTGCATTAATATTTATCTTTACACAGAATGTTTGATCACAAAAATCATATTACACAGTAATAATGAATCTGAGTGATTTATCAATGTATCAAGCAGTCAGAAGCTAAATTAGGAAAAGCTAACTTAGTTAGCTAACTCAACATTATTATATAACATTATCGCTACAAATTACATTACAATTAGTGTTAGCAAATACAGTGCCCAGAGCCAGTATGTCTGTTCACAGGTTTGACACTGAGCTGTAAGTGTGGTTTTATTCAAAACTTTCGCAGCTTCAGGAATGAAATATAAACATAAGCAGTGTGTCTGAATTACAAGTAGTGGTAGGCAAGATGGCAAAAATATTACAATACATTTTCACGGTACATGAAATCCAACACAGTATTTCATTTTTCTGTGATTTAATAAGTTGGAACAGATAAAATAGAAGTGACACATACAAAAATACTATAATAATAAAAAACCTACAACTACAATGATTTTTATTCAATGTTTTACAAACTGCACTGCACTAAATCCAATCACATGGGCCTAATTATACTCACTTTGTAATGAAACTTGTAGTTGGTCATCATATCAGCATCAACATATACTGGTTTTCCTGGCAACCAGCTATGCTGGTCTATGTTGGATTTTCTATCTGGGAAGTAAGAACTTTGGAGGAGGACATGAAGGCAGCATATGTTTTAAGGAGTTTTCCCAGAGCCAGTTTAAAGGGAGCCTGGCCCCTTCCTATTCCTCCTGTTATATGGAAAAAAGTGAGCACCCACAAGCAAGTCCTAAATGAAGAGATATGGAGCTAAATAGCTAAAAACGAAAAGTTAAAATAGTCTCTAATTGCTTGTCCAGGACATTGCTTTAATTTTAGAAAGTTGAAGAACGTATTTCACTAAAAAAACTTACCAGTATAGTTCATTTTTTCTATATTTTTTCTTTGGGCACTAGAACACTAGCATTACTGGTACTGAGGGCTAATTGACTGGCATTACTGCTACTGAGTGCTGATTAGTTGGCATTACTCCTACTGATTAGTTGGTGAGTTGATAAGCTAATTGGCTGAGTGAAGCAGTTCGTGCTCACTGACGTCATGAACATCACAGACAGCGAGCATATCGGTCCACTGGCTCGAGAAGGTCGGCACCCTATTGACTGTTTGCCACCGCTGGTCCAACCTCGGACCTCCCAGATAACTGTCCTGCATACAAGCTCTAACTAGTTTTTAATCTCCCCAAACAGATTTCAAATGCACACAGAGCTTTATATCAGAAAATAAACTGAGAGAAAAAAAAAACTAATTACTAGGCCTAATGTACAATGATTTTATAGAAAATACTGTTGCTGACACTGTACTAGATTAAAATTATTGACTAAACTAATTTACAAAGCATAACTAAAGAAAGGAAGGATGGAAAAATAAGTAAATTGGACTGTGAATGGAAAATGAGTGATGATAAGTGGAATTTTGCCTATTCTGCTTAACCACCGGTGGGCTGCCCAGAAAACGCTGAGCAAAATGCCAGTAGACCACCAGCTTTGCCATCAACGGGCCAACAGCGGCCCACTGTCCTCTTGCTATCAGGGATACACGAGGCACCATTAGAAACCCCTATAACTCAAGTTCAAAAGCGCTCAGTTAAAATGTTGCAGATAAATGCGTTCTTCTTTATAAAAAACGATGGTTTTGCTCAAAAGCTAACTCATTCATTTTGGACTCACTTGGGAGCGCCCTCTGTCATTGTCATTATGGAAGACATTAATAGCAATTCTCCTCGAAGGAAGTAGCGCTCAGAGACAGCTCTGATTGGCTAAGAGGCGCGTCAATCATGATTTTGCAACTGGTCAAGTATGTTCCCTAGCTAAAAGTACTACAGAAGTACTCTTGAAGGTACCACCCCAGTGATAGCACTTGCATCCAACAAAGTATGGTTAAGTACCCTTTATCTGAGAGTGTAGTTTCTAAACTCCAGTTCTTTACAGTGAAAAGTAAAATGACCGAAACAGGCCTTAAACATCCTGCTAAAGTCAAATGTCCTGCGGCTAGGCTAATCGCCTGAGAGCTCGGGATCGTCTCTGGCCGTACTGAATAGCTGGCAGTTGTGAGAGGCGCAGTTACGTGAGCTGAGTTGCTCTTCGGTTAAAAGTCATTTTCATTTTTCATTCATAAACCGCAGCTGTGTTTACCGCGTGCACTCGCCTTTAAGGGGAACGGCGCCTTTAAGCGTTATGTAGACAGAACCAGGCGATGTAGGGCGACCGTGCGTGCGCGTGTTTGCGTGTGCGCGCGCGCGCGCGTGTGTATGTGTGTGTGTGTGTGCGTGTGCAGAGCTCGCCTGCCTTGCTGTAGCCATGATGGCCCCCAAGCAGCCGCCGCTGCTCTCAGTTGTGGAGAAACGAAGCAGCGGCGCTTCCCTGCCCCGGCCAGAGAGCGTGAAGCCGAAGCAGAGGCACCGGTAAAGAAGAGGGGCGGAGGGGGGAGGGAAAGAAGAAGCCTCCTCATGCCACCCCGGTCTCCTCCATGCCTTCGCCCAAAGCCTCGTTCAGCCATTTGACAAAGAGGGGTGCGAACCCGGGCGGCGGCGGCGGCAGAGACAGAAACATGAGCAAGGATTACTCCGTTAATCTGTCCGTGCAGCAAGTGCTGAGCCTATGGGTGCAGGGCACCGTCCCAACGCTGCAGCACTTCACAGGTACGTGGCGTTAACTAACGGGGGAGCCTCCTCCCTCCATCCATCCTTTCACCAGTCCATCCATCCGTACATGCGTCCCTCCGGCTTGTTACAGTCGCTGCCGGTGTGACGGAGCATGGGCCGGCCTGTCAGAGCCCACCGGCTAGTCTAGTGTGAGCTACAGGACGGGATGGGCGACAAACCGGCTGCGAGCATCCATTTTTAAATGAATAAGCAGCAGCTGCACACCCACTGCCGCCTGCCTGCGCGGAATCAGTGGCTTTTATACGAAGCTTGTTCTACTTTCGCCGTTCCACCTTAAATGGTGCAGCAGTTACATTCTAGCACATGAGGCATTTAAGGTGGAACGGGAAAATTCGAACGAGAGCTGACGAATGGGAAGCCAACTTCAGCCTCATGGCTTTTATGTGGATAGGTACATCAGCTCAGATCAGCATCTCAGTAACAACGTGCTAGCCGCTGTTCTGGCCAAATGGACTGCTGCTCTGTGCCTGTATGGTCGAGCATGGCGTTAGTAATGACTTAGTCCTCAACGTGAATCGCCTGATCTCCTCACGGGTCGCTTCAGGAACCAGGGACACTCTTCATTGGATAAACGAGCATATTAAGCTAGAATTTGGTCTGATGTGTTGAAATAGATAACTAACACTGACAGATGTTGTCAAAGTTCTCAGCGTACAGTAGAAGGGTAGTTATGATATTTAGCCCATTGAAACAAGAATATGATGTTACACAGTTAGCCCAAATACATCAGCTAAGATGTTTAGTATCTGGAGCTCTCTTCTTTAGTTTGACACTGAAGGTTAATGTAATATAAGTCTATGTCAACTAAAAAGAACATAGACTGTGGAAACTTGTGTACATTGGATTTTTGGGTGAGCCATATGTTAATGTATGTGTAATGACAAACATTTTCAGGTTTGATCCTATTTTTGATTCTGAGGTGAAAGTTTGGTTAGGTTTTCAATATTTTATGACTCTCAATTCCACAGAGTTCTCATTATATGGTACATGGATTGGTTCGGCTCCTATAAATACAAATGTTCAAGTAGAACGTTTTCAATGCCTGTCACACCAACTCTAAAAAATAACCCCCCAAAAGCATCATGCCTAAAATTTAGATGGATTGGATTGTAAGTGAAACAATGACTTTGAAGTTAAAGCGTAAAATGTCAGCTACACTTAGCGTATGATTATATCTGTACTAGATGAACCTTATAAAATAACAGTGCCTTTTATACACAGTGCTCCCATTCCAGTGGATCATAAGTAGTTGGATAATGGGACCCTTAAATAGGGGCCTATTGTCCACTTATTTATGGACCCCTAAAATTGTGTTGTTTCCAGCCCAGCAGAGTAGTTGCATCATTTGTTCATGCACAACAGAGCTAGCAAATGTCTAAAGTTGATCTGAAATGTGGCATTTGGAATCTGCTGCTGTTGTCTTTCAACATGAGGACCAAAGAAATGTCAATGCCAATGAAGCATTCCAGCATGAGGCAGAATCAGAATAATGTGATCTAAGACACAGCCAAAATGTGAGACATGTCAAAGTGTACTGTTTGGTACTTTGTTAAGAAGCGAGATCACACTTGTGAGCTTAGTACTAGTAAACAGCCACAGTCAAGACATGAGTGGTGGATGACTGATGAGTACTTTCAGTCAACTTTCAGAACTGCTGAACAGATCAAAACAGTACCCATGATGTGGTCATAGATATGTCAGAGAGAGGTGACTGTAACAGAGGCCACATTACAGAGCTAAAAAGTGAAAAAAAAGCTTGTAGATTTCTGGAACTTAGTCTTGGACAGATGAGATAAAAATGTAAGCATCCTTGAGCACAGCAAAGGGACTATATGAATAAAAGTGATGATGATATAGTGATGATTAACTTGTACAAAAGTGAGGAAATGAGGAACATATGTGGAGGAAAAGGAAGTGCTCATGATGCATAGTAAAGCACTTTGTCTGTCAAACATGGTGGCATGGACATGTATGACTGATAGTGGAACTGCATTGTTTGTCTTTATTGATGATTTCTTTTTGAAATGAATTCTGTTGAATTCGGATAAATTCTGAACTTTACTGAAGCACCCAATCTAATTCCTGAAACCCCCTCGAAATTTAACCTGACAATTATTTTCAAACCCAGTGTGTCAAGAATATTGAGCCAAAATAACAAGAATTGTCAGTGATCCTCATCAATAATGGACTGTACTGTATATGCGGTTCAGTCACATCTTAGTCATTATTTTACAAACTTCAATTCCAAAGAAAGTTGGGACACTGTGAATGTTTTGTCATTTTTCCCTTATACAAATCTTCAGCTGCGTAACTGTACTGAGCCTTCGTATTGTGTGCTTTAAAGTGCACCACATGTTTTCAATGGGCAGGCCAGTCTAGCACCTGCACTCTCTGATTATGCAGACATGCTGTTGTAACACATGCAGAATGTGACTTGGATGTCCCTGAAATAGTCATAGTTTAGAAGGCAGCATATGTTGCTCCAAAACATGTATACATCTTTCAGCATTAATACTTTCCCAGAGAAGTTGGCGGCGTTTCTGAATGTTGTTGACACGTGGGCTCTGCTTTGCACAGTACAATCTTTACTTACATTTGTGAATGCAGTGATGAATGGTGTTTATTGACAAAGTTTTGTCCAAGTATTCCCAAGCCCATGTTGTGATATCCATCACTTAAGCATCCCGGTTTTTAATGCAGTGCCATCTGAGAGATCAAAGATCACAGGCTTTCAGGTGTGGTTTTCAGGCTTGCCCTTGACGCACAGAGATTTCTCCAGGTTGTCTGAATCTTTTGATGATGTTACGCACCGCTGAGGGGAAAATACCTAAAATACTTGATCCTAAAATCCTTAATCATTATGGAACAATGGGCCTCATTGACTAACTATTCTTAAGAAGGAATTTCTTCTTCAAATCCACTTACATAGTTTTCAAGAAGATTCTGAACATTTGTTTTTTGTGTGGGATTTGTTTGTTTAAAAACAGGTCAAAGTAGATTTACAAATCTGTTTTCTGTTTTTATTTGCATTTCACATACTCCCCCGACTGTTGAAGTTTTTAGACCATTGATATGTGTTACATTTTTAAAATTTTAGTCTCACATAATCACTGCACCAGTGATTTGTACCTAAAGACCCAGAAGCAGCACAGTGTTGATCTACAGTTAATACTGAAGCAGGTGGGTGGATGTTACTTCAGGACAAATGAAACAGTTGCAGTGGTGCATGTGAACAGGTTGCCGTTACAACACTCCAGACAACTACTGTTTTTTTGTCTTTTATTGTGTCAGCTGACTGAGGGAGATGGTCTAATAGCAGTAGACCTGATAGAGGGAGTTCCAAAATTATATTTGATGCAAGTGCCCGTGCATAGGGAATGATGAAACCCACAGTGGTGTTTCAGGCTAGTTAGTGTGTACAGAAGTGGTAGTTTCCTGACAGCTAGCTCTATGCTGAGATGATGAGGGAAGTAGCACTGTGGGTGAGGCTAAAATTGTTGACAGCAGCTTTCTGAACTCTTCAGGACCAGCCTGATATGAACCCTAGCCTACGGATATTTGGGCAGTCTTGGATGCATAGATATTCTAATGGCAGTCTTGGGTGCATAGATATTCTTAGGACAGTTCGTTTCCCCTGTAATTACAGTAAGTTAACCATTATTTTTGCAGAAAAGCTGTTTAGTATAACCAACTACTGATCATATTGTAAGATCTGATCAAATGTAAGAAATGCTAATATTGGTACTGATATCAGAAAATATGGATGATAATTATAGCATCAAATTATCATATGCCACCAGACAGAAGTGGTTACAGAACTCCTGTACTCTGGATGTATTTGAGCTGTAAAGCCGCATGGAGGGACATAGCACAATGTACAAACCACTGAGAAATGACAGGCCCCTGTTGAGGACTCAAAACAAATGACATTTCCTGTTTTTGCTCTGTGAAACAAGCTCACATAGCAAATTGACTTCCTTCTGTTTTGTCTTTTCTGCAAAGAAGTTCCGCTTCCAGAATGTGTTCTTAGAAACTTGGCTAGATTTCTTAATGCTTTTCAGGTTGTTCAGCTTAACCTTAGTGCTAATATGAAAACATTTGAAAGTGGTATTATACTGGCCATGGAGGAATGTTTTGAGAACTGCAGTAGACCTTTTTTCTCATAGTGAGGCTGTCAGTTGAGCAGCCCTCATGCAAGCCACAACTTTGCCGCAAGTGACCCACTCTGAGACAATGTTGCTGTTGTGGGAGCGCTTCACAGAGAAGAAAGTCTTAGTTTAGTTAGATAACTTTTGTCAAAAATTAGCACTGTCCAATAGTACTGGCTCTCATTTTTTCTCCTATTTGATCATACTTATGGCTTAGACCTTAAAAGTCATTCATTTGCCTATACTATTCAACTGTAATTATGTAATAATATAATTATTTATGTAGTTAGTAACATAATGAACTACATTTAATTTTACATTTATATTCTATACTGACAAGTTCAAGTCTGACTGTTTTTAGACTGGGCAATATGACAGTATTTATGGCTATCATGGTAAATGATGTCACAGTATGCTTTTCTGAGAATATTGTGGAGAACATGTTCGATCACAAAAAGCATAATTAATTTTGTTTAATTGAGTTTAGTGCAGTGGAGTATGTAAATATTGAATTAAACCATCGTACTGATTTTTGTTGACTGTTTTTGATGGTATTTCTAATGTTTTGGGTTATTGTCTGTTCCCAGCTGTCACTGGGTGGAAGGCAGGATACACACAACAGTAACTTTTCATCAAATTTAAATCATAATGAAATATCTGCTCTTCTATTTATGAACACAAATACGGGATCAGTTGTAAGGTTAGAATCTGCACTGCAGAATTTCTCAGTTTTTTTTAATGAGCTGGAGTTATAAATGGAGGTAGAAATAATGATTAAATTACTTAAAGGTGAGTAATAACTACTTTCATTTACATTTTCTCAAGTAA